CCCCAAAACCCCAAAACCCCAAAACCCCAAAACCCCAAATGGGTTAAAAAATATTGGATAACTTAACTAAATAATATGAGTAATTTGAAGTCTCTCGATTATTTTGTATTTAGCTCTACACCTAGTATGATGCTTACGAAGACATCAACATATCTTATATCTGGGTTAATGATCTTTAGCAAGTAAATTTGCTCACCAGCGACAATAAGAGGCATATTAACTTCGTTCAAACTATAAAATGAAACGATTTGGATACCTTTTGACTACTTTTTGAGGTCCATGATCTAGGAGTAGGCAGATATCTTTTATTTCGAGTGTCTTTTCTTCAGCAATTGTTTTTATTCTCACTTGCTTTCCATTTTTAAGGTACATTCCAGTGATGATGGTGCTATAAATGTTAATAAAAGCAATAAATAATGCTAGCTAATGGTGATACTCTCCTACAGAACAATGATTATTAATTAGGATATAATCATTGATCCAACCATGCTATGTTTAGGTAAAATCTGAACGTTCAAAACAAAAATAAGTCTTACTAGTCAAGGTTTTTATTTGGCAATGAGGAAATTAAGTCCTTTTCTAATTCCGAAGAAGTAATACAAGAGTGACTTGATTGCCGGAGCAATCATTGGCCCTATCTGGCTCATCAAGTACAAGTTGGAGGTGAAAAGCCCACTTGATACACAGTATAGTGCCATGAATGTGAGCTTATAAGACATATCTGCTTTTGATAACAATGAAGTCAAACTATAAGAGTCACATATCTTTTTACTCGAAGATTTTGTACTCATTATTTTTATCGAATCTTATTGGGTGTTTTGGTGTGTGACGCTTTGGCGCTCGATCAGGAAATTCTGGGAACAAGTATGTCTCAGAGAAAATATCCAACTGCTTTTCAATCTCCTTCCATCTTTTCTCAGCGATTTCTTCTTGGCTATTCCAAGTATCTTTGGAAGTTTGAGAATTTGTAGATTTTTCTTTTCTATTTCTTCTGGCGAAGCCGTAATTCTGGGTTTTATGAAGAATCCTTGGTGATACGAAACACTTCTACAAGAATTAGAGAAAAGTTGGACTTACCGCAAGTTTTACTTGTCAGGGCAATTTTAGAAGGTTTGAAGAAGCGGAAATTAGCTTCTTCCTATATTAAGATTATTTTAAATTATTTTGAGTTTTAGATTTTGAAAAAAATTGACAAAATTTTAAGAAAAAATTGTGATTAAAAGACAAGAATACTAAATATCATATCATATCTTGTATTTCAGCACTACATTTATGACTAAAAGCGATCTAACCCTTATCAATACTTGCTCTGCAACTATTTCTTACCTTATCTTCATTGTTTTAATCATTTTCAATTATTGATGAATCACGGGGTTTTGGGGTTTTGGGGTTTTGGGGTTTTGGGGTTTTGGGGTTTTGGGG